CAAGGCAAACAAAGGAAGTTGGTTCGAGTGCCAAGGGGAATCCGCAATGAGGGCATTGTGAGCTTAAGTGAGGAAGAGAGTGTGATGCTCTGCCATCTTCAAAAAAAATTGACAAGCTAAACATGGGAAAAGAAGATTCTTGAGAAGCCCAGAATGTAAAGAACAATCCAAGGGGCTCTAGAAGATTCTACGACATTTTAGAAAAAACTAAAAAGAAGGAGAATATTCCAAGAAATTCTAGAAGGTTCCACATAATTCCAGAAATATGCGGAAAGAAACAAGCTTCAAGAGAATTCTAGAATATTCTGGAAAGTTCTATAATCATGTATATGTAAAGAATAATGTAGAACTATTTAGAAAGTAGTGTGTTTTAATATAATCTAGAATGTTCCCTTTGATTTGGAGGGAATTATAAATAGGAGTCTCTCCTCTCATTTGTAAGCTTTCAAGAAAGGATTTAAAGAAACCATCTAAGCTAACAAGCTTTCAAGTCTTATAACTCTTCTCTCTTAGTGAAGAGTTCCTTTCTCCAATACTTCTCCTTACTCTTCTGAGAATGTTTTGTGCTTACAAGTCCAAGTATTGTGAGGGATATTAGGCTGATTTAATGCTAAAGAAAAGCGCTAAATCCGCATGGGTGACTTGAGATAAATTAGCCCGTGACAGTGAGCTGTGGTTTACAAAGAACAATTTCATAAGTTGCAGTTTCACAAATTGTAATTTCACATGTTGCATTTGCAGTTTCATGAATTGTTTTACGAGCTGCACTTCTAGTTCAACAAAGGATTTTACTTTGATTTTTTCTATTAGAAGGGAAGGAGAGATGGAGCATTATGATGGAGAAGTTGTGGTAAAATTGCTCAATTGAAATTCTTATGTGTTAAATTAGTAACTATTGAATTTTAGGTGTTAGAAATAAAAATAAGTTGGTGGAGTGGTAAATCCTCCATTATTTAATTGTATAGGAACTTGTTTATACCAACCTATTACTGGGATTTGCCAAAATGTAGAAAACAAGGGGGATTAATGTTAATTTTAGAAGTATAGAGTAAAGAAATCAAGAGGGATCCTAAAATATCAATAAAATGCAATATTATTTTTTTATTTGAATGAGTTACATACGCCACATAATGCTTATCTATTTACATATCTAACACCTAAATTTTTTTTTAATATATTTATATCATTTTATCTATATTGCCAAGGAATAATTCACTTTTTAAAAATTATTTAGAGTTTTTAAAAGGTAATTATAGTGCTTGGTGGTATTTTTGGTGTTGCACGAAAGATTAGTGTTATAAATATAAAAATCAAATTTTAGGTATTATATGTAAATGCATAAGAATTTTGTGGTATGTAAATGCCCTTTTATTTTATTCATTAATTCCTATTACTCTTGTGGGAATGTATTTATAGAATTTTGAGAATTCCTAATAATTAATTAAGTATTTATTAACTATTTATACAATTCAAATCATCTGCTACAATTATTTTTTAACTAACACAGAATTCATTATAAATCTCTTATCGGAAAGGACTTTAATTAAAGAGAAATATATTCAAGTAATGAAATAAAAATTATGATAATAAATAATGAAAAATAACAGGGACACACACAGACACACACACACCCAAATACTATTTTTGGGATTCTTATTTGTCGATGTAAATATTGAAGTTTGAGTGTGAGATAAATAATATTAGAAGTTTTGAGTGCTATTTACGCAGATCTCCCCATTCTTTTGCTATAATTCTAATAATCTTGTTTTTTTTTCTTAAAAAAAGTGACGTGAGAATTCCATCTTTCAATACTAGATCAGGAGGGACATCTCCACGACGTCCCTGAAAGAGGCACCCGAAGAAAAGGCGCTTCCACTGTGCTGGAAGGCCGTGAAGCCTTTTAAGTCCGTCCTTGAACTCAATAAATACTTCCAGCCTATAGTCCTTGGCTTCGTAAGTGGCAAGAGTCTAGCTCAAATGGTGATTCCCCCGGAGAATTATTTCATCGTCACGGTATACATGACATCTTTTGCCTTCCTGATTTTTATAAACAAAGAAACCTTTAATTCACGAATTTCAGTTCATTTCAGGAAAAAGGCAACGCTTGCCTGGGTATCCTCAATGGAAATGATGTTGGTCTCAAGGACTTAATCCTTATCGGAGGTAAAACAAATTAATTCCTTTCAAACCACAATCTGCATGCATCCAAGAGCACAGAAATTTCTGACATGAATATCTGTTATTAACTTGTGACATGATAAATGAAAAATCCAATGTCAATAATGCATCATATCCTTAGGGAGGCTTTCTGTAGCTGGGTGTCCTTTCTTTTAATTGGAAGGTGAGCGCCTTTGGTAGCGTTGCAAAAGTGAAATTTAAACGCATGAATAATTTAATGCTACAACTTGCTAAGATTTGGGATAGTATATAATTTGATATGCGTTTTTTGCAAAACAGAGCAAAAAATTCATATAATATACTATCTGTAATCATAGTGAGTATTTTCCTATTTCAGTTGGATTGCATAAGGGTTTAGCTTTAAGCCCATATCTTTTTGTTTTGATTATGGATGATCTTACTGAACTCTTACAAGAGGATGTACCTTGATGTATGTTTTTCGTTGATGACATCCTTCTTATAGATAAGACCAGAGTGTTTAGAAAAAAATTGAATTATGGAGGTTAACTTTAGAATCGAAATTCTTTTATTTGAGTAGCTCTAAAATTGAACACATGGAATATAAGTTTAGTAGGAGATCTAGTGGCGAGGTTGTAAAGTAGTGAACATTTTAGATATCTTGGGTCTATTGTTCAAAGTGATGGTGCTATTGATGGGGTTCTTTTTAGTAGAATTCAAGTTGGATGGTTGAGGTGGAGGGATGCATCGACCCTATTGTCTGATAGAAAAATACCTCTTAGACATTAAGGAAAATTTTATAAAATGGTGGTGAGACTCACAATGTGTTATGGTGCATAATGTTGGGCTACAAAAGAGATGCATAGGACTAAGTTAAGTGTTGCTGAGATGAGAATGTTTAGGTGGATGAGTGGCTTTACACTTGGAGACATAATGCGAAACGAATATATCCATGAAATGATTATGGAGAGTTGTCTTTGATGGTTTGGTGAAATTAAAGTTGATCATCCGATGATTCAGTTAGGAGAGTAGGTGTTTATGATTTATCTTATATTAAGAAAGGTAGAGGTAGACCTAAAAAAATCTGGTCATGTATAAAAAATGATCCTAATTTATTATAATTAAGTGAAAATATGACAATAGGACATAACAGAGAAAAACAATTCATGTACTTGACCGCACTTAGTCGGGTAAAGGCTTATTGTTGTTGTTGAATAATGAAATTAGATGGTTGTTTGCACAAGGGCCGCAGACAACTTCTTGCGGATTACATGACTGTGTGTCATGATGATACTTAATTATGCTTTAGCGGTCTTGCGGGGATGGTGTTGGAATAGGCCTTGCGTAACTGGAAAAATAAAGGGCAAAATAGAATAGAAAGTGTTTGGCATTAATATTCACTGATTATTTTTATTTCTTTTTTATATTCACTAATAGCTGATCTGATACATATGTATATTTTTCTCAACTGCTGCGGGTCAGTGGATCTCATAATTTCCCCAAACTCCGGGACATAGAAACTAAAACAAAGGCAACCATAATTTAGTGCTAGAACTTGCTATGTTTTGGGATGGCATATAATACGGCCTTTTACTCTTTTTTACAGACATATCGATGCAGGATATGATAATTGTTTACGATAATGAGAATCAACGGATTGGATGGGCAACTGGCTGCAATCGGCTCATTTCTGGAAAGTAATAATTTCTTCGGTATTTCTACCCTCAAATATAGTCTTTAAAAAAAGAAAAAAGATGATTGACTCTATTAACTTGAGTGGATCAATCAAAATGGTAATAGAATTATATTCACTTTTTAATTGGAGGATTGATGCACCTAAATAAAATATGTCCAATCCCTTTTTTCACTCTTCGTTGGTAGCATGCCATGGGGGATGTGCAATTGTTCACACTGCCATTCTTTTCCTTGTGTGTTTCTTTTTATTGAAGCAGTGCTGAAGAATACGAAGTTGGATTCCAGTTCCACGACGGTATTTTTTCTCAGCTCCAATTTGCGGGAATTGGTGCTCTCCAAGAGTAGTCGATTTATTCAGTACAGTGCTCCAAGTAGGTTGTTATTAGTGAAATGTAGATTGGTTGCAAATATCCTGTATTTCAATTCCTAATGCAATCACGTGATCATACATGTTTAAACAATTACAGAATAATTTTTTTGTTCACAAATATAACCGCCTTCTTAGAAATGTGTGTAAAGTGCCAGCAATTTTGCTGGAAGCGACTTGGGGACCTGGGATGGCTGCTCTTTGCCTTGAAAAAATATTTTTTGGACTGAATTGTTTTTAGGGGCTGTTATATACCCACCACCTAATTCCTATGTATATAACATATCAACTGCCCGAACTTCAATTTTTAGGTACATACCACTCCATTCCTATATTTTCGGCATAAGTTTGGGTATAGATTGAAGTTTTGGTGGTTGATATGTTAATTCATAAGAATTGGATGATAAGTAAATCTCCTGAAATAAAATGATGCTTTCTTCATTTGGACAATAGCATAAGTGGAAATGGTGGCAGTTTTCGGACTTTCTTCGAAGGAGTATGGAGAAGCGGTGCTGGCAATTGAAGGTTTCCAACAATCCAATTTATTTATTTATTTATTTTTGTCTAGAGTCAAGCAAGTTGTTTTCCAACACCTTCCGGAGTAACAAAGAAATTGCTCATACTTGTGCTACAATGGCCATAGATAGGGATTTTATTTTGTATGTTGTGAATGTTGATGATCCTGTTTTTGTATTTTTGCAAGCGGTTAAGAGCTATCTTGTTTGGTATCCTTGGGACATATTTTTGTTATTTTGCTTTTGTAAATTTCTTTTGATCATTGTAAATGCAATATTTCAAAAAAAAATCAAAAGGTGCTTTTCAGTTGTTTATTAAGCTCCAGAACACTAGCAAGTGTATAATAATAATAATAATAATAATAATAATAATAATAATAATAATAATAATGACTAGTAAAGTTATTTTATATAAACAATTATATGAAGTTTACATAAATCAGTCGGCTTGATTAGCCGATGACCTAAGTTAGCAGATTGCCGCGCTCCGCCATATTCTAGAAAGTGTCAAGGCCCTCATGGGATGGAAGGTTTTAAAAAATGCTTGAAAATAAAGAGGCATCCATGGAACTCTAAAAGATTCCACCAAATTTCGGAGAATGTTAGAAGGGAAAGCTCTGAAGGAAAACTCAAGAGTAATCTAGAAAGTTCTAGAGTCATGTATACATATAAGAGTTGAATAAAATAATATAGAAACAAGAATAATCTATTGTATTCTAGAATGTCCCCTTGAGCTTGGAAGGGGCTATAACTAGGAGCCCCTACTCACATTTGTAATCACCCAAGCATTCAATCAAAAATTCCAAGTATTTAAGTATGAAGTGTTCCTTTCTCTACTAATCTTCTTAAGAGTTCTTGGTGCTCACAAGTCCATGTGTTGTGAGGATTAGACTGATTTATTGCTAAAGGAGAGCGCTAAAGCCACACGGGTGACTCGAGGAAGGTTAGTTTGTGACAGTTGGTATCAGAGCCTCGATTCGAAGGAATGACAAAGAGCAACAAAAAGCACGTGATGGAGTTGGATGCCACTATTGTATAATCATCTCAACACGGGCGTGGTCGCTAGGAGCAACGAGACCCAGCCGCATCCAAACCACATGGGAGGTCTAAGGAGATCATGCTTGGCTTTGATTCGTGCCTTGCTTGAATGGAGGAGGCAATGAATGACATGGAGGGCTAAGTAGAGGATCTTGGCCAAAGGGTTGATAGGCTCGAGGGAGAGGACGTTACCATCCATTCAATAATCAGAGGTATGATGCTCCAACTTGAGGAAACCTTAATGGATCATGTGGCTAAGTTGCAAGAGGATTTATTGGGGAAGCTTCAAGAGGTGCAAAGAGCCAATGAGAAAGAGATGAGCGATGTGTGTGCTAGCTTGGAGGAGATGCATGGAGATATTTCGATGTACAAGAGGGCACTAGCGATATCCACAAGTCATCCCACTTTCGAAGCCAAGAGAATTGAAGTTCCAAAACCTATGAGTTTTGGAGGGGTTCGCAACGCGAAGGAAGTAGACAACTTCATATGGGGACTAGATCAATACTTTGGAGGGATGTATTACTGATGAAAATGCAAAAATACAATTTGCCTCTCTTTTTCTCTCGGACATCGCTATGCTTTGGTGGAGAAGAAGAAAATGAGATGCAGAGAAAGGTTTGTTCTTCATAACCACTTTCAATGACTTTAAGAGGGAGCTAAAGAGGTAATTCGAACCTAAGAACGCAGAGGATGAGGCTAGAGCCCGATTGCGAAGGTTCAAACAAGAAGGGTCTATTCGAGAGTACATTAAAGAGTTTACTAGCTTGATTATTGAAATTCATGACATGAAAGACAAGGATGCTTTATTCAACTTCATGGATGGACTCCAACAATGGGCGAAAACCGAGCTTAGGAGGCATGGAGTATAAGATCTCGCTACTGTCATCACCATTGCAGAAAGCTTGGTAGACTATACAATGGAGTCCCCAAAGACAAAAGACAAGAAGGGTATCCATGTTAAAAAGGGGAAAGACAAGAATCAACATGAGGAGACCGGCCACGAATCGACTAAATCCAAGGAGAAAGACAAATGAAAGCCTAAGAAATACAAAGCCAAACCACATAACAAGTGCTTCCTTTGCGATGAACCACATGGGGCAAGGGATTGTCCTCAAAAGAAGGCTTTAAACTCTCTCCTTACAAGTCATCAAGAGGAAGAGGTAAGCGATATGGTTGCACAAGTGGGGACTATACAAATGCTGAATGGGATGCAGGCTCCGAAAAAACCTTAAGGAAAGGGGTTAATCTTTATGGAGATAATAATCAGTGGGAAGACCACTAGAGCAATGGTGGACATAGGTGCTTCTCACAATTTCATCTCCGTGGAAGAAACAAATAAGTTGGGTTTGCGATAACTAAAGGAAGAGGCTCCATCAAGGTCGTAAATTCAGAAACAAGGCCAATCCATGGATTAGTCAGAGAAGTAAAGACCAACATTGTAACGTGGTCAGGTATCTTAGAATTCTCTGTTTTTCCAATGGATGAGTATAAAGTTGTCCTGGGAATGAGCTTTTTGGATCAGATAAAAGCATTCCAAATGTCGTTTGTCAATAACATGTGCATCATGGAAGGTAACCAAGCTTTCTTAGTACCAACCATAAGGGCTAACAAGCGGGAAGACAACATGCTATCGACCATCTAGTTTAAGGAGGTTCCACAAGATAAGGGGAGCCAATTGGCGAAGGAAGCGGTGAAGGCCCAAAAAGACTTGCCAAGGGAAGCGAGGGAGGTTCTTAAAGAACTACCACTCAGAATGGAGAGAGCTCATTGGATTAGGTTGAAGCCAAGGACAGAGTTGCCAGCTAGAAAGGAAGAACCCAAGTTCGCTAAGGGCAAACAAAAAAGCGGATACGAGTGCCAAGATGAAGCTACAATGAGGGCATTGCGAGTTTAAGTGAGGAATAGTGTCACGCTCCGCCATTTTCTAGAAAGTGGCAAGACCCTCATGGGATGGAAGGTTCTAGAGAATGCCAGAAAATAGAGAGACATCCAAGGGACTCTAGAAGATTCCACCATATTCTGGAGAATGCTAGAAGGGAAAGCTCCAAAGGAAAACTCGAGTAATCTACAAAGTTCTGGGGCCATGTATACATATAAGAATTGAATAGGATAATCTAGAAATAAGAATAATCTATTGTATTCTAGAATATTCCCTTGGGCTTGGAAGGGGCTAAAAATAGAGCCCCTCTCCTCATTTGTAATCACCCCAACATTCAATCAAAGCTTCCAAGTATTCAAGTGTGAAGTGTTCCTTTATCTCTACTCTTCTTCTTAAGAGTGCTTGGTGCTCACAAGTCCAACCGTTGTGAGGATTAAGCTAGTTTAGTGCTAAAGGAAAGCGCTAAAGCCGCACAGGTGACTCGAGGAAAGTTAGTCCGTGACAAGATGCTCAAACTCATAACTTGTTCATTGGCTCATGCTTTGGCTGTTATGATCCTTAGGCCTGCCTAATAAGCTCATTAATGATCCGAGCTTAAATTAGCTCAGCTCATATAACATCAGCTTGACTGTTTTGCGTGATGAGGCTTCATTTTTGAAGATTGAAATTTCTAGTGTAGATACTAGGCTAATGTTCAACATTGTTTAGATGGATAATAGTTTAGGTATAATTGTTTCAAGGAAATTGAAGCATGCTTTTCTTAAGCTCATCATTTCTGATTGTTGGGAAATTTACATTTGCGGCACACAATTCTTATGTATTTACATATCTCGCACCTAAACTTTCATATTTGCATACACAACACCTTGGTGTTATAAACATAGGCATGAGAAAATATATATATCACTTTTAAAATATGATAATAGTATTTTTTTGTGTGTAAATATAAAAGTTTAGGTTTGAGATATGCAAATAAATAAAAGAATTTGTGCACTATGTATGTAAATGCCCCTAATTGTTTCATTGTGCTTGGATTAAATGATTTCCATTAATGTGCCAACTGTAATACCTATATAATTCATCATATGACTGACAAAGTTGTGTCTGGAGGGTGAAAAATATACAATATGAAATATGAGTTCAGATTTTAACCCTTATTATTACTTAGATTTGCAGAAAAGTGAAGAGCAATTCTATGGCCATTATGTATTGATGTTCTTAATCTGCTAGAAATTAATGGGCAAGATTATTTTCTAAAGAGGCTACATAAGGAAGCAAGAATGTGGTGGAAGATCTACATATTATTGACGTGTCTTTTGTTAAACGCCCAAAGATTTTCCCAAGTAATAGGAATTCCAAAAAAAATGTTCATAAAGTACTTTAAAATCACATTAAATATAATATTTATAGGCTGCTTTTGGTATATCTTATGTGTGTGAGGAAAGAGTCTATTACATTAATATTTGCTTGCTCAAATTTTACCAAGTAAGAGGTGATAATTAATTAATTGACATGTGCTAAGCTTATCTTTAAGGGCTAGTAATCACTTGATTTGAGCAAAAATTTCATAGCTAAATTTCAGAGCTAAATTTGTCTCATAAAATTGAAATATCCACTACTCACTATGTATTTTTGATTATGACCAAGTTGAAACACTTTTCTAGTGAGGGCTTATTGAACAATAGTGGGGGTGGTTTGATGATTATAGTGTTAATTCAAATATTTTGAGTCCCATCTAATGATTGTC